TGACCAGGGTAGAATAAAGGGGGCGCCATGGAAGGAGCATTTGGACTGGAGTCAGGAAGACTTGAGTTCAAATGCAACCTCACACACTAGTTGTATGACCCTGAACAGGCTGGGGGTGGGGTGAAGGCAGACAGGGAAAACGATCGTCCCCCCATACTTCACATTAAGGTACAGAATCTAAAAGGAGAAGTCATTAAAAGCAAAGGATATGTATATGTGTGTTGGGTCCATGTAGTTTGTGAGTGTTCACATGTATTTTTTTGGATGTGACTAAAACACAGGCATGAAGGTGTATCTCTGGAGTCACCTCTGCCTGTCTTCCTTCAAGGGAGGCTCTGATTCCTGACACGAGGGGATCAGGAGACTGAGGCCACGATGCGAGCTACTCTGCTATTCTCAAAGAGGGGTCACTGGGCTGCAGTTGTATCTATCAATCCCTGCCCCTCCAAATATAGTTAGTCTAAGGGAAGTTAAGTTTTAGGTTCAAGACACTCTCCTGATCATTAGCCCTTAACGGGGGGGGGAAAGGCCATCACCAGTCATCCTGACCTGTATCTCACCACTGGACCCAGCTGGCTCCTGAGGAGAAAGTGAGGCTGGTAACTTTGCACAGACTTCCCTCACTTAAATAAATCCAAGTCACTTGCAAGTCATGGCATCACCTTCCTGATGTCATGGTTCTCTTCAAGAAGGAAAAACAACAACCAGGTGTCAGAAACTGTGCTAAGCACTTTAAAAATACTATTTCATTTGATGGTCCCAACAACCCTATGAGTCAGGTGCTATTAAGACCCCCATTTTACAGTTGAGGAGACTTGCTCTGTATTGGAAGCTTGAACCTGATCAGGTCTTCCTGACTCTAGTTCCAGGGCTGTATCAATTCAATACACATCGATTAAGCACCTACTATGTGCCAGGCCCTGTGCTAAGCACTGGGGGTAGAAAGAGAGGCAAAAGGCAGTGTGGGCCCTCAAGGAACTTACTGCCATCTACCTGCCACAAGGGATGGTCCACTCTGGACCAATTTATTTTCCTTACAAGGTAGAAAAATTATGAAGTGTGTAGGAAGGAACAAAGAACACGAATAGGAAGTGTGTATTTCATTTTTATAAGCAGATAATAAAGAGAATCAGGACCAGCCACTGGGACAAATAGTCCAAATGAAAGGTCATCAGAATATAAAGGATGGTTTTTAATATACATTCCTTTAAAATTTCTATTGATATTCATAGCAGCCCAACATAAAAGAACACATCATGCAGTTTAACCAAACCACTCTGAATACTTAATGTTACAGGTAGTTATAAAACATCCATAAGTCCACTTTTCCTTCCTGACTTAGAAAATTCAGACATCCCTTAACTTAGACCTCTCCAGAAACTATTCACACTTCACTTATTGCAAAAGTTTTTCCGCCACTGTGAAAATCCTATTTTTGAAAGGATCAGCTTAATGGTGTATGCCCTACTACCACACACCTCTCTCTCCACTGTTTACTGAGTTCAGTACCTTTTTCCAGACTGAAATTTAATCTCACTTCTTATTTAAAATCTCAGCTCACAAAAAGAATTTCTCTTCAAAATGTGAAAGAAAGTTATGTTCAAGTCTCTGACCCTGGGCTTTGTGATCAGGACAAATCACTTAACCTCTCTAGGCTTCAAAGAATAGGCAGATTGTGAACTTTTAAAAACTACCAAAATTATCTCACTGCTTATCCATCTCTAAATAAATGGTTCTAAATTAGCACAGTTCAAATGTCCAGAGAACACTTTACAGCAGATTTGGCAGTAAGATAAAAGGGGACAAAAATTCCAAAGCTCAAGGCTGTGCTTTCATGGGTTTCACTTGATTTCCACGATAACCGAGAATGCAAATTGCTTGTTTTGTCATTTAAGCCATTCGTTATCTGATCTGCCTTTCCAGGGTTATTACACATTACTGCCCTTCATACCACAGTCCAGCCAAAGTGACCTTCTCGCCAGTCCCAGATGCCTTAAACCTCCCCCCCTCCTTTCTACCTCTAAGAATCCCTAACTTCCTTCAAAGCTCAGCTCAAAAACCATGCTCAGAATGCTCCCCTTCCTCTGCTCCAACTACTATTACCCTGACTTTAAGTTCCAACTAAAATTCCATCTTTTACTGGAAGCTTTTCCCAACCCCTAATTCCAATGCCTTCCCTCTATTAATTACTTCCTACTGATCTTGTATATATATCTTGCTTTGTATATATTTGTTTGCATGTTCTCTCCCCCATTAGATTGTAAGCTCTTTGAGGGCAGGGGCTGTCTTTGCCTCCTTTGTATCTTCAGCACTTAAGCATGGTGCCTGGCTTGTAGTAGGCCCTTTCAACAGTTATTCCTTCCACATCAAGGTGATACGGGGCGCAGCGCCCATGCAATCTGGAATTCATGTAAAATTTTTTAGAACTCCCTACGTACCGGAGAAGTGTAAATTTTTTTCTTTTTCGTTTATGGGGTGTTTACAGTACCTTATTGTAAAACTTGAGCTAAGTATTTGGTCATAGGCTCTATGTTATCTTCGGGTCTTTGAGTGTTGTCTGCAGCTTCCATAAAACTCCCATTTAATTTCTTTTGCCGACCCACAACATAAAACCACGATGGGGAAGGTTGCATTGTGGAAGGGATAACTGTAAATGTTTGATTGACTGACTGATTAAATGACATCCCCTTCTCAGAAGCCTTTCCTGATCGCTACTAATACCTTCCCCATAATCCCCAATAATACAAACACATAAAAATTACTTTGTATTTTTTTGGACAGAACCTGAGATTTCATTGATATGGGGAACTCCTGGGAAGGAACCCCCTCTATCAATGCAGATCAGCATTTGCTTCCACAACTAAAAGATTAAATGACTGTCCCCCAGATAGTATATGTTAAGAGGTGGAACTTGAAGCTACGTCTTCCTCATTCACAAGCCAGTTCTCTGTCCATTATTACTATACTGTCTCCCACTGGTATTTTCTTCTATGTGTACATGTTGTTTCCGGGATAGAGAGTAAACTCCTTTAAGCTGGGGATCAAATTTGTTTTCTGCCATTGTATCTCTAGAGCTTGATACGATGCCTGGCACACTGGAGGTACATAATACATGCTTGTGGACTGATATTCATTATGAAGCTTACATTTCAAGCTTTTGGAACGTTACTGTTTGGGGGTAAAGGGAGGACAAAGGATGGAAGAGAATGGCCAAAGTAAGTTACTTTTTTCTTGTCGGAGGCAATCAGGGTTAAGTGACTTGCCCAGGGTCACACAGCTAGTCTGAGGCTGGATTAGAACTCAGGTCACCCTGACTTCAAGTCCAATGCTCTCTACCCACTCCACCACCCAGCTGCCTAACACAGAATGTCACCCAACATAAGAGAATACTTACCAAAATGATGACAAGCTTTAGTAGATACTGCTTTAAACTAAAAATTAATTCTTTAAGCAGAGCTAAGTAAAAGGTTTTTAGTTTTGCTTTAAGTAAACATGATCCCACATGATAAAATAAATTTAAAATACATAAACTCTTTGTTTTTCGTTTGCTAAACACATTTGCATTTGGCTTCAACATTAATGACAGTGTATTTCTTAATATATTTACCTTCTCCATTTTATCTGGTTTATTAACACAGGCAAACCTCGTTTTATTTGCACTTCACTTTTCTGTGCTTTGCAGATAATGAGTTTTTTACAAATTGAAGGGCTACATCCAGGAAATCCTCCATCATACATCAAGCAAGTCTGTGGGAGCCATTTTGTAACAGTATGTGTTCACATTGTGTCTCTTTGTCATATTTTGATAATTCTCACAATATTTCAGACTTTTTCATTATTATTAAATCTGCTATGATGATTTGTGATCAGTGATCTTTGATGTTCCTATTGTAATTGTTTCGGGGTGCCAAGAACCACGCCCAGACAAGAAAGCAAACTAAATAAACGTTGTGTGTATTCTGACTATTCCAACCAGCCATTCCCTCATCTCTCTCCCTCTGCTTGGGCCTCTCTATTCCCTGAGACACAACAATTCTGAAGAATGTTACACAAACTTAGTTGATAAAGTAGAGGCAGGCTGTGAGAAGGCTGACTTCAATTTTGAAAAAAGTTCTACCGCGGGTAAAATGCAATCAAACGACATCACACGCTACAGAGAAATCTTTCATGAAAGAAGAAGAGTAAACCAATGCTGCAAACTTCATTGTCGTCTTATCTTAACTGCCACTGCCACCCCAACCTTCAGCAATCACCGCCCTGATCCATCAGCAGTCGTCAACACTGAGGCAAGGACCCCCCCCCCGCCCCCAAAAGCAAAAAGATTATGATTTGCTGAAAGGCTCACACGATGGTTAGCATTTTCAGCAATAAAATATTTTAATTAAGGTATGTACTTTGTTTAGACATAATACTATGGCACACTTCAAAGACTACAGTATAGCGTAAACATAACTTTTATATGTACTAGGAAACCAAAAAGCTTGTGTGACTCACTTTATCACAATATTCAGAACCTGCAATATCTCTAAGGTATGCCTGTATTATTAAATTTACTTTACAATCTCAAATTACACATTAGCTGAGTGACTGGGGGAAAGCAACCAAGAATAGTAGAAGAGAGAGCTATTCTGAGAATAAAAAACAGATCTCATAACTTCATGTGGGTCATAAAGAATATGAGAAATTCTTTTTAAAAACCACAACCCTGTCTGTACTGGGATTACAAGTATTTATCAATTCATATGAAAGATGGGGGCTACCCGTGAGAGCCAAAAAACTTCAGTTTCGGAGCTGATGTATAAACTGTGTCGATGAGTAAATGCAAACAGACCACCTGCCCAATTTTTCCACTTCTGTATATTGAGGTATACTTAAATAAGCTGAATATTTTAAAAATAAAAAACAATTAATGGCTTATCACAATCCATCTGTTTCCTGAACATGTTTCACAAATCAATTGTTTATGAAAACAAGCACAAACAGTATTTTAAATTGTCAGACTAATTTATTTTTTTCTTGATAAAATACATGAAAATGCAATCGCTTTATTCCAATCAAAAGATGACAGTTTTATTTTTAAAGGAACAGGTATTCTAAACATTTTAAATTCATTATAAATTGAGCTGCATAACTTTGTCATGCAATAACACAGTGTATTTATTATTGGTATTGGTCTGCTCTATTTTCTGTGCATTACCTGTCCCTTGAAAGTTCTCTTACGGGGGCTTTTTAAACTATGCAAGTTTTGCAATCCAAGTATTTTTTAAAATGCTTCCAGTTGATATTTTATCTACCTGACAAAACAGTAGGCACACAACAGAGACAAGTCAGTAATAGGGAAAAAATGTAGCAGGATGAGCATCAGCCTAGGGTGCAAGGTGCGTCATAGACACATACTGAGTTAAAGCACAATGGATTGGCTCCTTCAAGCCTTGAAAAATCACGGGCTTGGCTTTTCTACTTAAAAGATTCCGTCTTGGGAAAGGTGGGCTGGGGAAAAAGGTAGATAACCTCACCACAATTTCCCCTGAAAGTCCAACATGTCACAGAATAATCATGGATTTTGGCATGAAGAATTTTAAAGTCAATGGTCATAAGAAAATACAATGCAGCTACATTTATATACAAAGACGCAAAGACTAAACTAGGTGGGGGTTTTTTGTACTCTTCACACAGCCTGTATTTTAATCTAAATTACTACCAAAAATGACACTCAGTCTTCAGTTTCAAGATTAAAAACTTGCCTAAGCAAAAAGGCTTTTTTATAATGAAATTGTCCCATCTCAAGACTATTATTTATTTCCTTTAACCTTGGTTGAGGTCTTGCTTCCAATAGCATGGATAAAAAAGGACATGAACTGATAGGTTTCATTACCCTCTTTTTCCTTTTCTGTTTGCATTATCTAAAAACAAAGGGCTTTCCCCTTATGGTTCAATGTGTTTTTGCAGGGTACGAAGCTGAAATTAGCTGGTTTTTAGTGATGCTAGAGTACATGTTTAAAGTTCACATTCATACGATATCATATCCTAAGTCTCAGATTTTAGGTATTAACTCCTCAACCCTGATGCCTCCTAAGACAAAGCCTTTCTCAGGCTAGAGAATTTCCATGTTTCTGAGGCCTGAAATACTGAAGTTCCATGTTTAGCTAAAGAATAGAGGAAAACAACAGCAAAGGTCTCCTTGCACGTGGGACTAGCAATACTGAGCACTCCAACAGTTTCAGACATCAACCCTCACAACACCCATGAAGTAGGCATTTCTCTGCTAATTTTTAAGGACAGGAAAACAGAAGACCAAGGCAAGAAATAATAATCTGGACAATTATAAATCAGAAAGTTCTCAGTCTCCTTGTAAGGTAGATGAAATTAACTTTCTCTGGACACTGACAAAATCCATAACAACAATCAGACACGGTCTACCTGATTTTTTTTTTAAATACTGTTACATCATAACCAACATCTTTGAAAAGTACAGCGTTTTCTGTAATCTGCTTGGGTCCGCAGCTGTCACATTTGAGCTAGCAGATGGTAAATGTAAGACAAGGAACCCACTATACTTAAGGTCTGGAAAGTGACAGGGGAGATTTCTAAAGATGATTCATAAGGGACATCTGTGTATTGTCTTTGTTTAATAATGTGATAATGCTTATTACCAGAGTAGCAGAATGGACAGTCAGAAAGCCTCGGAGTTAGGCAGATCCAGGTTTAAGCCTGAATTCTGACGTTTATTGTCTATGACCATGGACAACCCTCAAAGGCTCTAAGTAAGTCACAGACAAGTTACTGATCTGAATTCAGTGGAGTTTCTTATATCAATGAATTATAGGCCAAAAAACCCAGCTTATACAGCGCTATGTATTTTGAAGAACTCAAAATTCATTACTGAATTGATTCACACGGCATCCCTGTGAAGTAGGTTGATATTGCACCCCTATGTGGAAGAATACAAAATGAAGTCCCAAATTATTTCACTGATTTTTTTAAACATCTTTCTTGGCCAGTCTTTGTGTCTATTATAATAACACCAGACTTAGCACATCATGTTAAGCACACAGAAGGAGCTTTAACAAAAGTGTGCTAAACAAATGAATGAATGTGTGTACGTATATATGTATGTATGTATGTATGTATGAATAAATGAACAAATGAAGGTTGGGTTCAGTCCCCACACCACCACCACTTGACCTCTGGGATTCAGGTTTTGGGGTTTTTTCTGTAAAATGGAGTTAGTAGTGCTTTTCCACTTCCTAAAACAGAGAGATAGCATGAGGATTAAGGAAAGACCATACATATAGACTTATTTTGCATTTCAGCCAACCAATATTTTTCTTAAAACCATCCAAACAAATCAGAATGAACTTCTTTAAATCAATGTTCTTCAATCTGAGATTTCTTGGGGGCAAGGCTAGGATGTCTGGCAGCCCTCTCCCTATATCCTCATTCTTCCTTCCCCTGGCTCTATGCCTAACAACACATAAGACAGATATACCTAACGCCCACTGTTTAACTCTCTACTTCCTATTCAGTGACCTATATCAATGATAGGGGAAAGAATTAAAGAAATAAAGTGAAAAACAGGAGAATTAAAGGGAAGCATAATTACATTTTAATTTAAAGTATGAATTATTTTAAAATAAATTATGAACATACTTGTGGCCAAATGTGGCCAGTTGTGGCCTGAGGCCTAACTGGAATGAAAGAATAAAGTTAAAGATTAATTTACTTTGTTTAATATCCCAAAGAGCAATCCTACCACAACTCTCCAATAAGAGACACTTGGCTGTGGTTCCCTATGTATTAACCTGGAACCTAGAAAGCTCAGTGGACTCTTGCCTTCTTTTAACCAGCGTTCGGAAAAAGTATATTCTCTTAAACTTGAATGTTTTCCCTGAAAAATCACCTGCGTCAATACTAGTTGAAATAGTTTTTTCGATTGACTTCTAACTGAAAGGCAGACAAATGTCATGGTACACTCAGTAAACAACACTATTCAATAAATAAGCTTAAACAAATCTATTATTTTTTATATTTCAGTTTTAATCACAAGTCACTACCAAGAACCTTCAGTTGTTTTGGAATTCTGAGTTTTTTAACATATTTTAAAAATAGAAGAAATAAGTTAAGTAGACTCTATCCTTTGGCATTCTAATAACTGAAGTCTATGAGACTAGTCAGAGTAACAGAATGAATCGTCCCCTCTAACAATGTTAGTTTTGTCTTAGTCTTAGGAAGAGCACTATTAGAAATGGGAATCACATTAAACGTACAAATGGGAGGGTAATACTGTGGGTTTTAAGCATGGTCCTGGAATACTGAATTTAATTCCTTCATGTTGGGATAGTTGGCTAAAATAAATGGTAAACTGAAAAACTATTTTTAAAAAATTAATATTATCTTTGTTGTGTGGGTGACTACTTTGAGACTAAGGGAAGATGGCTCACATTTATTATGCTTTACTATTTGTAATTCATATCATTATGTTTTAGGATTGGGAGTTTTAAAAAGTAATTTTTAAACCATAATCAATGGCTAATGAAGGTTATGCTTCAGTACCCAACTCTAATATTTTATATTTAGCATGTTTATTTAACAATGACTTATTTTCTAGATAATGAAAACATTATGGAATATTCTTCATAGAGTTGTGATTTATGTGAGATATTAACCAATAGTGAGGCTCTGGAATACCTTTTTATAACATAATTTATCTACTTCAAATTCCATAGGACAATTTAAAAAATTCTACATTCTGGAATAATTTAAATGACCAACTATAAACAAATTCCTAAATTCTGTTTGACTATTTTAGCTGATTTTCTAAAGAATTATCTAGTTAATTAATGGAAAGTTTGCCTTTAAATTAGTCGCTTCATTGTTGTACTATTATCAAGGGCGATGTGATTTCAAATTAATCTTACCATTTTGGAAATCAAATCTGCTGGCTTTTAAAATCTTGAATGACGGGGTGAACAATCCAGTAATACTGAAAAGGGGCTGGGGGATTGGAATTGCAAATAAAAACTATTACATAATTTTCCCCCTCGTTTTCAAAACCAATGATGCTGTTTTAAGGGAAAAATAGCTACTCTACTAGGATGGTGTCCACATTTTCTTGTGTGAGATCAGACTCTAAAGCACATGATGAATCTAAGTGGTCTTGAGACAGGCTAGAACTTTTCAGAGGGCCCTCAGACCAGCTATTACAATATGGCTGAAATCTTTGGGCCACTGTATTACCAAAACCTCGACACCGGTTATATTTATAAGGTTTACCTTTATGTGTGTACATGTGTTCCAGCAACTGGCTCTTCCGGAGAAACTTATGACCACAGAGAGTACAGCTGATTTTTCTTTTTCTGGAGAAAGAAAAGTTACAGTTTAACTCCACAGGTTCTGTGTCTTTGGAGATCAAGGACAGCTGACTGATCTGTAATGGTTCCATGGTGCCCCGGTTTGGGTGGTCAGGCTGCTGCTCATTTTCTTTGACAAGGAAGGTGCTGAGCCGGTGGCATTCACTGAGAGCCTCACTGCTTTCACCGATGGGATGTACCTCCCCAAGATCATTACTCTCCAGGATGGAGGCTGGGACACCAAAAGGAAGAGACCCAGACACGTGAGTGTGGAGATGTTCTCGTAAGTTACTACGTGAATCAAAGCGTTCCCCACAGTAATGGCACAAATGAACTTTGATGCCACTTTCAGTGAAAGTAGGGCCTGTTACCTCTGAAGAAGGTGAGGGATGGCTCTGAGAGACAACAGATTCAGGGTCACACCGTTCTTGCTTGATAGACACTGGCGGCTTCTGGAGCTCCTCCATTGACTGGGAAGAAGCATGAGATATCTGCTGGTCTGGAGTGCCATCATCTAGCCCAATAGCAAGAGAGAGTTGTAACTGTGGGTGGTCACCCTGGGCAACACTTCTGTTTCCATTGCTATTGGAAGGGTTTTCTTTCATCTCCAGCCCTTCCTTGGCTGTGGTTTTTTGTGTGGTTGAGATCTGAATCCCATACAAATTTGAAGACTGCACAGTCTCTGGAGAAAATACTTGGTTCATTTCTGTGGCAATGTGAGAAAGGTAATCTGCATGAAGAAATCGAATCCCTTCTTCCAAACGGCCATGATCCACAGTTTGCTTTGGCCCTTTCCCAGTGTACATAATGTGCAACAAATAGCTGAATATATCAGGCTGGATGTCAGTTGGTTGTATTTTTATGCACTCACTGTTTAAAAGAAAAAAAATGTAAAATTAAATTTGTCAAAGTAGACAACTTAGTTCTACCCCATGTTTAACATAGTTACTTTCATAAAGTGACATAATGTTAAACTAAAGGTACTTCTTTACAATCAAACCAGACTTGGGGACCTCACTAGATAGAGTAACCTGAATTTATACTTATCACTTTCAGGTCCCACTGGCAATTCTTCATTTATTTGGTGTCACCGTCATGTTTCTGGTTCTAAATAACTCAAAATTGAAGGTGAAGTATACAGATGGACAATGGAAAATTTTAATAATTATTATACTAGACTTACTTCTGTCTCTAAATTATTTACTTGGGATGACATATATATATGTGTATATACATATATATATATACATACACATATATACCTATATATACACCTATATATACATATATATCTATATATACATCTATACATATACACACACACACACATACACACAAACACACACACACACACACACACATATACATATGTTTGGTCAGACTGGTATAGGTTATTTACAGGGAAAAACCTCTCTTTACCAATACAGATCCAGAAACTGCTCTGCAACTATAGTCTATGGGGTACCTGACAGGTTAAGAGACTTGCATAGGGTCACATAGCCAGTAACGATCAAAGGTTTGGATCCAGGTTTCCTGACTCTAGGGGTTAGCCCTCTATCCCTTACTTATACCAACACCCCACTAAAATATAAGGTAAACTATCTGTTGAACAAATAAATGTATACAGTTGCAATAACTTATAAAAAGTACTTTCAAAAACCCCACAAAACAGCTAATCTTTGTAGGTGAATTTAGTATTCAAGTAATAGAAAGAAAGTAGAGAGACACCTAAAAATTGAGTGAAGCTGTCCATTCCCATCCCCAACTGAAAACGTTAACAGTAAAGGAAAGGGACTGTTGCTGGCCAAGGTATGACGCCAGCAGTGGACCCACTTTGGGTTTTCACGGGTTCCCTCTTTACTTCTTGAGTTGACTTTCCTAAATTAAATGTTCATCTGCACTGTCTATCAATATGCTCTTATGTTCCTGGGTTCCTGGTCTCTCCAAGACCCACTCCCACTCCAACTCATGGAGTCCCATTCTGGCTTTGGCCCACACTCATCAACATGGTCTGCCAGTTGTAACAGTTCCTTTATTCAATGGACCTACTGATTTTTTTGATGTGGGTACTCCCTCAATTAGTACAACTTATGATCCATTCACACCTGCTCCTATGAGAATCTATATCTTCCCGTAAATCAGGCCTGCACAACATACAGCCCACCAAAATGGCCCGTGGAGGTTGTGGAGGCCTGCCATAAATCCTCCAAAGAAGATCTAGCAAACCAAAATAGTGAAAGCCCTTCTCTTTTTAACGTTTTGTAGGTTCTAGTTACAGTCAAGCTATCCATCTATGATCTCTCCCTGTGACTGGCCCATCTTTATTTTTGATGGCCAATGTACATTCCCAGGATAATATCTTTTATACCACTTAATTCTACTAAGATTTGCTAGTTACACAATAAAAAGTCACCAAGTTTCAAGAATCTTAAAAACTCTTCAAGAATTTTTTGAAATGGAGAGAAAAAAACAAAATGAATACCAGAAAGAAAGCCAGACAAGCAGGAGAGCTTTGAAAGCTATCAGTTGATCTCTTTCTCTCTCTCTCTCTCCCCATATATATACACAAACACACTATATATATATATATATATATATACATACACACACACATATATACATATATACACTATATATACATATATACACATAAACACTATATAAGAAACAATAACATCATAAATATATACATATACATACATACACATATAAAATATATATCTTTTTCTGCTCTAATATAAGTTATTAATGCTTAAAGCTACCCTAAGACTTTTGAAATACGGACAAGTTCATTTTATTTGGTGTTTGAGTTCACAATGAAAATAAATTTTTTAATTAATTTATTTTGATTTATCAACAATCACTTCCATATGCTTTTGAGTTTAAAATTTTTCTCTCCTTGCCTCCCCATCACCCTCCCCAAGATGGCGCACAATCTTATATAGGCTACACATTTACATTCCCTATTAAACACATTTTCACATTAATGATGTTGTAAGTAAGAACTAGAACCAATAGGAGGAACCACCAGAAAGAGGAAACAAAACTCAATAGAAGAAAAAAAATAGCAAATAGTATGCTTCAATCTGCATTCAAACTCCATATCCATGTGGGTAGCATTTTCCATCACGAGGCCTTTGGAGATGTCTTAGATCCTTGTATTGCTGGGAAGAGTTAAGTTTATCAATATTAGTCATCGCACAACGTGACTGTTACTATGTACAATGTTCTCCTGGTTCTGCTCACTTCACTCAGCATCAGACCATACAAGTCTTTCCAGGTTTTTCTGAAGTCAGCCTGGTTCATCATTTCTTATAGCACAATAGTATTCTATTACATTCATATACCACAACTTGTTCAGCCATTCCCCAATTGATCGGCATCCTCTCAATTTCCAATTCTTTGCCACCACAAAAAGAGCTGCTATAAATATTTTTGTACATGTGGGTCCTTTTCCCATTTGTATGATCTCTTTGAGATATAGCCCTAGAAGTGCTATTGCTGGGTCAAAGGGTATGCATATTTTGATAGCCCTTTGGGCATAGTTCCAAATTGCTCTCCAAAATGGCTGGATCATTTCACAACTCCACCAACAATGCATTAGTGTTCCAATTTTCCCCACATCTTCCCAAACATTTATCATTTTCTTGTTTTGTCATGTTGGTCAATCTGATAGGTGTGATGTAGTTGTTTTGATTTGCATTTCTCTAATCAATAGTGATTTAGAGCATTTTTTCATATGACTATAGATGGCTTTAATTTCTTCATCTGAAAATTGCCCGTTTATATCCTCTGACCATTTATCAATTGGGGAATGACTTGTATTCTTATAAATTTGACTTAATTCTCTATATATTTTAGAAATGAGGCCCTTATCAGAGAAACTGGTTGTAAAAATTCTTTCCCAATTTTCTACCTTCCTTCTAATCTTGGTTGCATTGGCTTTGTTTGTGCAAAAACTTTTCAACTTAATGTAATCAAAGTTATCCATTTTGCTTTTCATAATGTTCTCTATCTCCTGTTTGGTCATGAATTCTTCTGTTCTCCATAAATCTGATAGGTAAACTATTTCTTACTCTCCCAGTTTGCTTATAGTATCAGCCTTTATATCTAAATCACGAACCCATTTTGACTTTATTTTGGTATATGGTGTGAGATTTTGATCTCTGCCTAGTTTCTGCCATACTCTTTTCCAGTTTTCCCAGCAGTTTTTGTCAAAGAGTGTGTTCTTATCCCAGAAGCTGGGGTCTTTGGATTTATCAAATAATAGATTACTATAGTCATTGACTACTGTGTCTTGCATACTTAACCTATTCCACTGATCCACCACTCTATTTCTTAGCCAGTACCAAGCAGTTTTGATGATTGCTGCTTTACAATACAATTTAAGATCTGGAATGGCTAGGCTACCTTCCCCTGCATTTCTTTTCATTAGTTCTCTTGATATTCTGGACCTTTTGTTCTTCCAAACGAATCTTGTTATTATTTTTTCTAACTCTATAAAATAATTTTTGGTAGTTTGATTGGTATGGCACTGAATAAGTAAATAAGCTTAGGTAGAATTGTCATTTTTATTATATTAGCTCGGCCTACCCATGAGCAACTGATGTTTTTGCCAATTATTTAGATCTGACTTTATTTGTGTGAAAAGCGTTTTGTAATTGTGTTCATAGAGTTCCTGGGTTTGTTTCGGGAGATAGACTCCATAAATATTTTATAACGTTTACAGTAAATGTAAACGGAATTTCTCTATCTCCTGCTGTTGGATTTTGTTGGTAATACATAAAAATGCCGATGATTTACGTGGGTGTATTTTATAGCCTGCAACTTTGCTAAAATTGTTTATTATTTCAAGTAGTTTTTTACTTGATTCTCTAGGATTCTCTAAGTATATCATCATGTCATCTGCAAAGAGTGATAGCTTTGTTTCTTCTTTGCCTATTCTAATATCTTCAATTTCGTTTTTTTCTCTTATTGCTAAAGCTAATGTTTCCAGCACGATACTGAACTAGATTGGTGATAATGGACATCCTTGTTTCACTCCCGATCTTACTGGAAATGCTTCTAGCTTGTCCCCTTTACATATGATGCTTGCTGAAGGTTTTAGGTAGATGTTATTTATTATTTTAAGGAAGACTCCATTTATACCTATGCTTTCTAGTGTTTTTAATAGGAATGGGGGTTGTATTTTGTCAAAAGCTTTTTCTACGTCTACTGAGATGATCATGTGGTTTCTGTTAGTTTTGGTGTTGATATGATCAATTATGCTGATAGTTTTCCTAATATTGAACCAGCCCTGCATTCCTGGTATAAATCCTCCCTGGACATAGTGCATTATTCTTGTGACAAGTTGCTATAATCTATTTGCTAATATTTTATTTAAAATTTCTGCATCTATATTCATTAGAGAAATTCGTCTATAATTTCTTTCTCTGTTTTGACTCTTCCTGGTTTAGGCATCAGCACCATATTTGTACCATAAAAAGAATTTGGTAAGACTCCTTCTTCACCTATTTTCCCAAATAGTCTATATAGTATTGGAATTAATTGTTCTTTAAATGTTTGATACAATTCGCTTGTAAATCCATCTGGCCCTGTAGATTTTTTCTTAGGGAGTTCATCAATGGTTTGTTCAATTTCTTTTTCTGAGATGGGGTTATTTAAGTATTTTACTTCCTCTTCTGTTAATCTGGGCAATTTATATTTTTGTAAATATGTATCCATTTCACTAAGATTGTCAAATTTATTGGCGTACAGTTGGGCAAAAATAGCTCCTAGTTATTGTTTTAATTTCTTCTTTGTTGGTGGATTCACCCTTTTCATTCTTGATATTCGTAATTTGGTTTTCTTCTTTCTTTTTTTAAATTAAATTAACCAAAGGTTTATCTATTTTATTGGTTTTTTCATAAAACCAGCTCTTAGCTTTATTTATTAGTTCAACAGTCTTCTTAATTTCAATTTTATTAATTTTTACTTTGGTTTTCAATATTTCTAATTTGGTGTTTAATTGAGGATTTTTAATTTGTTCTTTTTCTAGTTTTTTTAACTGTATGCCCAATTCATTGATCTCTTTTTCTTTTTTATTTACGTAAGCATTTGGAGATATAAAACTTCCCCTAAGAACTGCTTTCGTTGCGCATCCCATAAGTTTTGGTATGTTGCCTCATTATTGTCATTCTCTTGAATGAAGTTATTGATTGTTTCTATGATTTGTTGTTTGACCCAATCATTTTTTAGGATTAGATTATTTAGTTTCAAATTATTTTTTAGTCTATCTTTCCATGGTCCTTTATTACATATAATTTTTATTGCATCATGATCTGAAAAGGATGCATTTAATATGTCTGCCTTTCTGCACTGGATTGTGAGGTTTTTATGCCCTAGTACATGATCAATTTTTGTGTATGTGCCATGTACCACCAAGAAAAAAGTATATTCCTTTCTATCCCCATTCAGTTTTCTCCAGAGGTCTATCATACCTAACTTTTCTAATATTCTATTCACCTCCTTAACTTCTTTCTTGTTTATTTTGTGGTTAGATTTATCTAGTTCAGAGAGGGGGAGGTTGAGGTCCCCCACTAGTATAGTTTTGCTATCTATTTCTTCCTATAACTCCCTGAGCTTCTCTTTCTCTCCCCATATACATATATATATATATATGTATTATATATAGTATATATGTATGTATACACACACACACATACATATACACACACATATATACACACTATATAAGAAATAATAAGGTCATAAATATATACAAACACATACACACATATATAAAATATGTATCTTTTTGTGTTCTAATATATGCTATTAATGCTTAAAGCTACCCTAAGACTTTTGAAACACATTAGATATGGAAAAGTTCATTTTATTTGGTGTTTTAGTTCAGAATAAAAATAAATTTTAAAAAAAAGAGAAAAAAAGGAGGACTTTTATGGCCTATAATTAAGGTCAGATTTGTTGTGTTTTTTTTTTTTGTTTTGTTTTTGTTTTTTGTAAAGGACCAATCATCAAAAGTACATTTGATATCCAATCTGATAAAGTTTGATTTCATGATGAAGAATAAAAAAAACTTGTGAAAATAAAAATCTCTCCTAGGAGGCCGATCTGAAGGTCCTACTTCAAAAGTGAAAAAGGAATTCTATGCTAGACATTGATAAAACCAGCTAATAATAAGGATTCAGCATACAATGAGAAGGAAGAGCCCCAGATTTAGACTCAGATGATCTGACTTCAAATCCTGGCTCTGCCACTTACCATCATGTGATGTTGAGCAAGTCACTTCCCCTTCTGCACCTCTATGAGGGAGTTAGACTAGATGACCCATGGTCCCTTGTAGTCTAAATCTATGAGCATATGGCTTTATCACCTAGAAACTGACGCTGTGAAATTAATTCTCTATTTCACGCAGGATTTCTTTACTTTATTCTTTAAAAGAACCCAGGCTACTGCCAAACTGGGATAAATTTAAATTGATAGTTAAATGATTTATCCAGGGTCACATAGCTAGTGTGTGTCAGAGGCTTGGATCCAGATTTTCAACACTGGATTTTATAAGAACTCTCCTTCTTCCTCCATCTTTCAAGGTATCTTAAAATCAAATCATATCCTTTTGAGGAATGTGTATGTAGATGTATATATGTTTTTCTGTGTATCTGTGTATAAACACATTTGCAATTGTTGTTGTTCAGTCATTTCAGCTGTGTCTGACTTCACGACCCCATTTGGGTTTTTCTTGGCAAAGATGTTATAGTGTTTTGCCCATGTTCACACAGCTAGTATCTGAGGCCATATTTGAACTCAGGTCTTCCTGACTCCAGGCCCAGTACTCTATCCACTGCACCACCCAGCTGTGTGTGTATCTGTATGAAAAATGTTGACTATGAAGCAAAACTTAGTTGTAATCATAGAGAATTACTGCTATATGAGTTACTTGCTTTATTTCTTTGGGAGTCATTTTTCATGTTTTACTGCTGAGAGAGCTAATATATACCTACTATCTAAAAGAAATGTTGGAAGAAGAAGAGAAAGCATATATGAAGGACTTTAAACTTCTTTTCAAAGTTTTCATCTGAATTCAAGGTGTTGCCATAACTTTTACAATGAAACCATATTATATAACATAATTAATTATGTAGTAGAACTCAAAAGGCATGTCTATATTAGACCCAACTGGGGAATGAAGGAATCAAATTCTAGTTATTGATATAACAAAAAGATGATTCTTTAAAAACATGATAATATTTTTTTTTTTTTGGTAAAGCAGTTGGGGTTAAGTGATTTGCCCAGAGTCACACAGCTAGTAAGTGTCCAGTGTTTGGTCTGAGGCTGAATTTGAACTCAGGTCCTCCTGACTTCAGGGCCGGTGCTCTATCCACTGTGCCACCTAGCTGCCCCCCAAAACATGATAATATAATTTTACTATAGTCCCACATCAAGGTTCACATTATAAGATACAGCATTATCGTAGAATTCTAATGATTTCTAGTATTAAAAAGTATTCTGATTTGCAAAAATACATCCTTACCTGCAGAACAGGTATGGTGATACACACTTTCCTCCTCTTGGTAGAGAGATAGTAGACTAAAAGTAGAAAATATGGCACAGACTATCAGATGCATTTGCTGTGATACCTTATTGTCCTTAATCTGTCCTTTGCTATAAGGGAAGGTGCTATAGGGGTACAGGGCTTAAAGGAAGTGACAGTTGTGTTTAAAAAAAAACAACAAAAAATATCAATGAATAAAAAAATACATAAATATTTGTATCCTTACCTAGTCTGGTGAATAAATATCATTTTGAAATAGTTAGAAAAAGCAGCAAGCACGGCTCGATGAGCTTTGAAGTAAACATCTCCAATGGCGACTGTGCAATCACAGAGAAAACCAAATTCCCTCTGCATGTTCAACTGCTGCAGGAGGACAAGGCTATGACTAGCAGTATCCATGGCGGTTCTAGGAGAGAAAAAGGAGGACAGACACACGTATGCTTAACAAAGTGAGCTGTGTTTTCACACAACTTGGTTTACTTCCCCTGCAGAGATTACAAGGAACACGGCATAATTTAAATACCTTTCTCTCCAAAACCGTAAATCTTCAAAACTGCTCGATACTGGTAAGTGTGCCACAACTGGGTAATGTTAAAACTTTTCCAGTACAAACTATTTAAAAATGTTGATATTGACATGAAATTCAAGCCGCCTTAATTAAAATTACATTTTCAAAAAAAGAGAGGTCTAAGATGTCAGTCTTTCCACTGTCCCTTTCCCATGTACCTCTTCTTTTCACCCAAAAAAATAACCCTTTTCCTATCTCATTTCACCCCTATCATCTCATGAAAACACATTTATTAAACACTAAATTTCACACGGTACTGTGGAAAACTACATAATTAGTGCTATAGAGACCAGACTGATCCCTGCTCTTTAAGAAGCTCAAGCCAATATGTGGTTACTGTTTCCATTTAATTAAAACAATACGTATTCCATTTAAAGTAAATTAAAGATTCATTCATTTAATAAGCATTTATTAAGTACCTGCTACGTACCAAGCAGATTTTAAAAAATGAAGCATTTTCTTTCCCTCAAGGAGCGTACATTGTATTTGGGAGAGGGAAGGGAAGTACACATAACTTGAAAAGGTAAAAAAGAAAAAAATATATATTGGGTATATGTAATGATTGATATATATATATATATATATATATATGATCCAAAATAATTTCTGAAGGAACAGGTTACTAGTAACTAGAGGATTCAAGATAGGCTTCCTGTAGGAGGTTGGTGGGGGTATATTTTCAGGCATGAGAAATAGCCAGTGCAAAGGAATGCAGAAAGGAATGTAGAAAAGAAATGAAATGTAGTAAATGGAGAATAGCAAGAAGGCTGGTTTGGCAGAAACATACGGCATCATGGAAAGCAATGTGTAATATACCTCGAAAAGTAAGCTAAAGACACATAATGAACATATAATGCAAAGGAGACTTCCAGGTCATACAATCAACAAGACTAGACATTTTTCTCCATCTTCTCTCCTCAGTAACTCTCCAAAAAAAAAAAAAAAAGAGGAATCATACACTGGAGGTAGAGCAATTACAGCTGAATTCACAGGAGAAGAAAGTACGATGACCGCTAGAGAACTCTTAATCTTTAAGGCAATTTTAGCAGGGCTTCCTCATCAGCTTCCACACTATGACAAGGGCACACAAAGCCAGTCATGGGATTGGGCTTTAGAATTTACAGAGGGATTCTTCTTACTGAATAGATTCTGCCAGGAAGCAGACATTAACTTCTACCCAACTACATAGGAGGAGGCTGAGGCAAGTTTTGCATTCCAATCTTGAAAGTATTCTGACCATCAAAGGGAGAGGAGTCAGAAAGTGAGTGAAAGGAAAATATAAGGAAAAAAGCCTAAAGCCACCAAAAATTTCAAGAAGAAGAAAATTCCATTAGAAATTAGGAAAACAAGCAGACAAATCAACAAGGACAATACAAAAATTAGAAGGAAGCATTCATAGCAAAACCTCAAAAAGATTACAAACTTCTCAAGGAAATATTATAAGACAAAAGAAACTGAATTAATGCCTGATGAAAGTGAGCCCCTTGAAATCCCAAGGGAATGTGGAACCACAAGAAGATGTTCCAGAATGGTTCAAAAGATGAATGGAAACCATAACATAAGTTAGAAGGGAATAAATGTCAGAATTTATGGCCTACGCAGAAGGAATAATCAATAGAATAGAAAAACTGAGTCTCTCCCAAGAAGTAAAAGAGAGAACAATAGATATGGAATACAAATGTACTGAGATAAAGGACAATCATGAGGAAGAGAAGCAAAAAGCAATAATGCTAAAACAAAATATGATCTCTATATGAGCAAAAGATATTGATTTACAAAGACAATGCATAGAAACAACCTAAGGATTATAGGTCTCCTAAAAGAACATTGCAAAATAGAAAAAAAAATACCATAATGCAAAAAAGAGTGCAAAAAAACTACCCAGAACTTCTGAATGCAAAAAACAAAGCATCAAATGATTCACTGATCATTTCAAAACAATCTATTGATCGCCTCCAGAAAAAATCTTACATTTTAAACTCTAAGAAAGAACCCTCTGATTAAGCTTAACAATTTCAATGACAAACAATATATTCTGCAAGCAGGTAGGCAAAAGACTTGCAAATGTAAAGGGAAGGAAATTCAAATAATACAACACTATTCCACATTCTACATTCATTGGAAACTACAAAAATATATTCCAAGAAGTAAAAAAACTCAAGATGCAACTCAAAATAACATATCCCATGCAAATCTGAGGCTAATCATCAATGAAAAAAAAATGAACATTTATTTGACTTTCAAACATTCTAAATAACAGAAACACAAAAGGTAAATAAATATAACACCAAAGAAAGACTAAGTACAGAAAGAAAAAGAGTGATTTACAGGTTAAAAAAAAAAAAGCAACACTTTTAAGAAATTTTCTTAAGTATGCAGGAGGGTAAAGATAAAAGCAGAATTTAAGGAAATAGAAGTAATGATAGAGAAGCAGGCCTGAAACACCAAAGCCTAAATAACTCCACAAAATTTCCCTTGTATCAATATGTATATATATTCTGTGGGACTAAATTCCAGAATGGTAAGGCACATAAATGAAGAGAGGAGAGATAGAGGATAGAGGAGAATATGTGACATACACTAATAAAGTCTATGACTACAAAAGAAGTTCTAACTCTTGTACTGTCTAAACAAGAAGGATAAAGGAGAATAAGAGAAGTATCAAAATGGAAAGCTTTTAATGGGGGAATGAAAAGGACAGCTATCTCAATCCAATGGAGGAAGGAGGCCTACTGAAGAGCACTATAATGACAGATGGAAACCAACAATGGGTTTAATTTTTTTTTTTTTTTTTGGCTAGGCAATGGGATTAAGTGTCTTGCCCAGGGTCACACAGCTAGTAAGTATTACGTGCCTGAAGCCGGATTTGAACTCAGGTCCTCCTGACTCCAAGGCTGGAGCTCTATCTATACTGTGCCACCTAGCTGCTTCAATGGGTTTAATCTGAAAGAGTATTGTGTCTCCATGGACAACATCCTTCCTCAGAAAAGAGGGAATCAACCAGCACCAAGAAGAGTAGAAGGACACTGACTACTTGGCAAATGGGAAGGACAATAATGGAAAGAGAAAGAGGTAAAATGATACTACAAGATTTAAGAAACGGTAATTTCTACTATGGGGCAATGCTTCTATCCTCATCACTTCTCTCATACGTTGATACTTCTAAGAGTGATGCACAACATAAAAAGGGATGATAAGAGCAAAAACTATCTACAAAGACATTAACAGAAATTGGTTAGAAGAGGAAGCTCAAACTTGGTACTTCAAAACCTTTAATTCCACAAGGAAAACAAGGAGATTAAGGAATAAATAAATACATAGACCACAAACCAAAGAATGAAGGTTCAGAATAAATGTAAAGAGAAAATAATTAATGAAAAGAACAAGGTACACAAATCTTTCTTAGAAAAAGGTTCAGAAAAAGAAAAACCAATAAACAAAATAAGTTGAAGGGGAGATTTGAAAATAACCATGTAATTGAGAGGAGAAAAAAAAGGGGAAAAATTAAATAATGAAATAAAAGAAAAAGAAATCAGTAAGTAAAACACTTAAAACTATATAAAGGTTGTAAAACAGGAAGGAAGGGGTAGGGAGAACTGGGAGAAAAGAGAGTCTATGGAAATAGAGCTGCATCAAAGTAGATTAGTCAAAAATAATCTCCAAAATCACATGGTTATCTCAATAGATTTAGGAAAAGCCTTAACAAAATACAACACTCATTCACGTTAAAAACAACTCCCCCTCAAAAAACAAAACAAAAAAAAAACAAACTTACAAAGTGTAGGTATAGAGAAAGCTTTTTTAAAATTATGATTTTTTTAAAAGTATCCAAAACCAAAAGAAAGCATTATATGCAATGGGGATACATTAGAAGCATTCCCAAAAAATAAAGGAGAAAAACAATAATGGCCCCTTTTCCTGCTATTACTTGATATATAGTAATGCTAGCAACAGTAATAAGATAAAAGACCAAAACTAAAGATATTAAGATAAGCAAAGAGGAGACAAAACTCTCTCTGTTTACTATTTTCTTTCTTTCTTTAAGGCAACTGGGGCTAAGTGACTTGCCCAGGGTCACACAGTTAGTGTCAAGTGTTTGGTCTGAGACCAGATTTGAACTCAGGTCCTTCTGATTTCAGGGCCAGTGCTCTATCCACTGCACCACCTAGCTGCCCCCTCTCTATTTACTATTAATATAATTGTTTACTTAGAAAATCCTGTAAAAATCAGCATAGGAACTGAGTCAATTAATAGTTTTAGCAAAGTTGCTGGAACTCATGAAAATCAATAGCATTTCTATATACTAGTAACAAAATCAAAGAGGCAAACAGGAAGGGAAATTCCATTCAAAAGAACTACAAAATACATAAAATATTTTAGAGTCAGTTTATCAAAGCACAAAATTCTTGTTAAAGAAATTAAAAAGCAACTTAAATAGCTGTAAGGATATTCAATGCTCATGGCTGGGATGTATCAATATAATAAAAATGATGCTGGTACCCAAGTACTACTACAGATATAATGATATACCAATCAAAATACTAAAGGGATACTTAACAATAATAGATGTAATAAAATTCTCCAAAATATCCAAAAATCCTCCAAATAAAATTTGGAGGAAACTGTCTAAAACAGTTAACTGTGTTAAACTGTGGTCATGACCTCATGTGGGATTGCAACCCACAGTTTAAGAAGCATTGAAAGGGTTGCAAGTGAAAAAAGTTTAAGAAGCCCTGATCTAGAATATGAAGGGAAATAATGGAAAAAAATGTAGGAATAAAGGAATACCACTTCAATACTCAAACTATGTCATAAAGTAGCAATCATCAAAACTATTT